CCCCCCCCCCCCCTCCCCGCACAAAAAGATGTCACCCCGCCCATTGCCTCGCCGCCAGTCAATTCATCCCATGCCTCTTCCCGCTCTGCTCCGCCTGTCACGTCACTTCAGCCCCGCACTCCTCGACATCCCAACAAATCCCGCTCCACATGAGCAGAAGAGGACCCAGTTCACCCACGGCCGAACCGGCTCCTCTTCTGCTTGCGCGCGCTGGGACAACTACCGCTCCACGCGAGCACAACACGACCATGAATCCCGCTCCATGCAAGCACAACAGGACCCAATTCGTCCGCGGCCGAACCGGCCCCTCTTCTGCCCACACGGGGCAAGATTTCTTCGCCCCTCGTCGCCAGTTCCGCCGGTTCCCCCTTGCCCACTGCCCGGGGGCGGTCCCGTGCGGAGCCACCCGGTTTCTGTTGGGCCGTACGCGAGGACTGCTATGTCCTTTAGAATTATATATAGAGAGAGAGAAAAAAAAGGAATTTCTGACAAATTCATCAAGGGAGCATAGGGTGCAGACAAAATAGAGGAAATTACCACAGATCGCCTAAAATTCACCTGGGAGGTCTACCCATAATGAACAGTCACAGGAACGCGAGGAGAGTTATTTTTTTAGCATGCCTGCCTCCTGCAGCCTTGGCCCCATAAGAAGGCACTCAACCCCCAAGAAAAGAGAGCAGAGCGAGAAAAAGAAGGCAGGTTCACATGAGTCAATGACGAACGGCTGGGATGTCCACACAGTGGCAGGCCATCCTGCAGCACAAGGATGACAAGGTCAAACTCAGGCGGCTCTCAATATCACAACAAAGGGACATCAACATCACAGCGGCACTTGGTTGTGCAGAGCGACCAGCAGAGTCATAGGAAGCAGGGTTTATTAGGCAACTGCCCGGGGGCGGACTGAGAGTGACAGAAGCTGGTCTGTTTTTGGCATGTTTCTTAAGGACTGAAATGGAAAGGAAAGGGCCATTGACCTCAAGTATGGCCGAGCTGGCAATGGAAGCAATCAATGATGCCAGGGCTCCCCAAGCCGTAATGCAGGGAGGTGTCAAGTGCATCTCATTGTAATTCTCTGACAGTTGTGGAACATATACACTCCAACAAAAGAGTCTGGCACATTCATGTTTGCTTTGTGTAGTGTATAGTGAACATGACAACCCACACACAGGCACGCAAACACACACACACACACACACACACACACACACACACACACACACACACACACACACACACAACAGACACAAGCATGCAGACAGGGACTTGGACAAGCACATACTCACTGGACGGAAAAGCTGTGCCACTTGTGTGAAGTCTGCAGTCCACCACTGATCCCCAATCCCACTCTCACCCAACAAGGCTGGATGGGGCGGTTTTGGCACAGGAGTGGGGAATCTGTAGGGGTATGATGCTGCAACAAGCACGCAATGATTTTCCTGCTCCCTGTTCACACTCGATGCACCCGAGAGGGTGGACCCCCCAACCAGTGGTGAGCTACCGGGATTGAGACTACTGGATTCAGCACTTGCAGTAAGGCACATCTGAACAAAGAGACAAGACACAAGACAAACACATTTCTCTCAAATTGAAATCAAGCATGTACGCATCTAAATCCATGGCTTGCAATTTCTGGGGAAGGCCAATCCAAGGAATAAGGACAAGAGAATGATCTAGATCACCCACAGCAATACCATCAGCGTGTCTGCATAGTATACGCCAGAATTTACAAGGCACCTGTCACCATGATCAAAAGTATATCACAAGTCTGCAGAGGGTACGTTACCCACATCCTCATTCTACAGCTAGCACGAACAGCCAGAATCCTGGCTCCCAACTTCTTTTCGTTTGTTAAGACGGTCCAATAGAAAGGCAATATGTAGCCGGGCAGACAGAGTGGCTGCAGCCAATGGCTCAAAGAAACCCACCAGCATCATAACTGGACGGCAACCTCAGCTGGCTCTGAAGGGGTTAATAAGTCCAAAAGAACATGGCAAGGTGCATTTCTGGATGCTTTTCTGTTCACCACAGGTGGAAATTCTGGTCACATTGGTTTTATATTCTGCCCAAACCTTGGTGGTTGCGATGGACAAACTTGTAATGCAAAATATTCAGCTCGGCTACGCTACTCAGGTAGTTCTAGACCTATTCCTAGGCACAATCATAACCCAATGAAGCCCAACCTGGGACACACTGTAGCATGCGTAGACCCTTCTACAGGGCCCTAAAGGGCTGACATTGTAGTTTGGACTCTCAGCCAGGTGTGTGACTATTTTGTCTCTTCTGAGAACAGAGCGTGTTTATGTCTGGCAGGGCTGATTTGCTTTCGATTCCAGGCAGGGCTGTGAGTATTTTGTCTGTTCTGAGTCCAGGTTTTGTCTGTTCTCAGTCCAGGTTTATTCAGTTCTAAGTTTACTTTGATCTCGATTTCTGCATATTTTGTTGTTGTCAGCACAGTTTTCGTTGTTGCCGGTTCGCTTTGTCCTGGTCCAGATGAGTTCCCAGGACTTCGTCTCATCCAAACCTCTGGTGCAAGTTTTCTGGCCCAGCTTCTTTTTGGAGGTTGGGCCTCCGTTCAACTCTTGTGCCACGCCGTTCTCTTTCCAGGCCCTCTTGCTGAGACGACGAGGGAGGGCCTGGACCTGAGCACGGACCCAGACCACACGTTCTCATGTCTGAGTACTGTGTGTGTGTGTGACCGGGTGTGATGCCCAGTATGTTGGAGCAGCCTATCACTCGCAGAGGTAGAGGAGCAGCGCTAGAGTAGAGCAGTGATGTAGAGGTAGAGGGGAGAGAGGAGGTAATGGTGGAGTCCACTCACCTGGCGTCATATCCTGGAGGTCTACTGTCAGCCATAGCTGGTCATCTTCTTCTTCTTCAAGACACCCACAGTGCATCAGCGGCTCAAGGCTCTGCCTTTCACCGGTCAGTATCATCTATATGAGAGAGAGAGAGAGGCTTCCACATTTCTTATTCTTATCCTCCGCCTGTGATTCTTCTTCCTCTTTAAAAGAGAGAGAGAGAGAGAGAGAGAGAGAGAGAGAGAGAGAGAGAGAGAGAGAGAGAGAGAGAGAGAGAGAGAGAGACTGGAGACTGGACATTGGTACTCCGGGAGGCAAGCTCCCTGACTCAAGATCTGAAATTGATTGTTGGACGGCGTTTTGAAGGTTAAACTACCAGTACACCCGCACCTAAAATCCCGAAGCTACCTGCCCACTGCGCGCCACTATTTTCCGAGCCTTCGGCGTGAGTGTACCTGCTGTGGGAATTTTGGAAGTGGCACCCGTGCCGGTGGTCTAAAAGAACAAAAGAAAAAAAAAGAAAGGAAAAAGCATGCCAGAGATCAATGATGTCGTGGAAGGACTTCACGGAGGCCATACTCAAACGATCACTTTCCAGAATGCATCTGACCACTATTACGGGGAGAGGAAAACATTGCTGTTTTTTCTTTTTTTATCCCTTTGTTTTTTTCTTCCTTTCCCTGCCAGCAAGGCAGCCCATATTCCTCTTGCTCAAAACGCCCTCGCTGATGGCATACTCACACTAGCGCCGTTGAAATGCATCCAACCACTTTCACGGCCAAAGCTTTGTTGGCTTTTTTTCCTTTTTTCTTTCTTTGTGAGTCTGACAGTCTGGCTCCCCGTGTTCCTCGTTCTGCCGAAGTGCCCTCACTGAGGGCAGTACTCCAAAAACTGTATCCAACTGCAATCACGGCCAAAGCTTGTTTTCTTTTTGGGTTTTTTTTGGTTTTTTGTTCTTCTTTTGTGAGTCTGACAGTCGTGCTCCCCGTGTTCTGCGTTCTGCCGAAGTGCCCTCACTGAGGGCAGTACTCCCTATCTAACTGCAATCACAGCCAAAGCTTATTTTGTTTTTTGGGACGTACGGATTTGACATGGGCCCAAAATTTTGAAAACCTTCTGACGCTCCGACCCTGCCCCGAGCCAGCCTTTTACTTCTTGTGGCGACAAGTTTTTTTGCTGCACAGCTGGGGGCGTGTACTGGTGGTTTAAGGAGAGAGGTGGAGGACAGACTATTATTATTTGGCGGTGCCATACATTGGGTTTTCTTCTTCTTCCTTCAATCTCTCTCCTACTTCGTCTATGCATGATTGCAGAAGGGAGGCTCGTCTATGATTTGACCCCTCCCAGCTGGTGTGAGATCAGATCTGAGCCACTTTGTCATTTCGCTGCATTGTCAGACAGTCCTAGTGGATTTGGGTCCTCCGCTAAGTCACATTGCATCTCTTGCTCAATATTGATAATTGCATTGCTCACGGTTCACTCCAGGCCATGCATGACACTCCTAAAAAAACAGAACAGCCATATTGACAAGCTACAGGCCCACAGCTTGCCTCAGGTGGTGGACAGTTCATACAACGGCACAAGCACTACTCTGCAGAGCACTGCTTCTCTTTGTCCTCCAATAACGGGTATAGCTGTGGGAATCTCATCATCAAGGCTGCCCAGAAGATTCTCCCAACAGCACACAGACCAACGTAAGTTCGTTACAGAATTCAAGCCAACATGAACGCTGCATTCATTTTAATCCAGGCCAATAACTAAATGCAAAAGATTCACCCAAGCGGGCCACTCAGTTGGTTGAGCACATAAGTGGCACTCAAGAGGTCGTGGGTTCGATTCCCAACGTCCTCCTTTCGATCCCCCACGGCCTCCTGGGGCATGCTTCGGGCGTAGCAGCGGAGATGGTTGGCTTGGGCCTCCTGGCTGGTTGTGGAAGTGATTTAGGCACTTTCCAGCTGGCGCCAGGTGTTACGAGCTAGGATACTGCTCTCCACATAGAGTAGAGGTGTGCTGCATAGAGCGGAGGTGTGCTGCATAGAACTGAGGTGTGTTCTGCAAGTATGTAGTGTTTGGTAGACCCATAACCTTCAGGATTGTCTCCATGGCCTAGTGTAAAATACTCAGAAAAGAATATACAAAAAAAAAAAAAAAAG